GGAAGTGTAGTCCCACGCTGGGGTCGCCAGGAGCGCCCCCGTCCGGAGCCCGGGCCCACCTGGAGCCCCTGGTAGCTATGCCTGAGCGGGAGGCAGCTCCGAGCTAGAAGGTTCCACCCTCGGCCCCGCCACGCGACGGAACCGCCGGGCTGCCTGGGCCTCAGTGTCCCCACCTGCGCGTCTGCAAGCCCCCTGGTTCTTCCAGTTGGCATTCCAGGCCCCGCTGAGGTCCGGCCTGGACCGCTCACGCCTTTGACCAAGCAAGTGTTCTTTCTGTCCCCAAGGCACAAAGGAACTCCTACACATCCGCAAAGCCCCAGGCTCAGAAATCCCCAGAACCTTCCTGCAAACAGAGTCCACAGAGGAGGAATGTCTGTCTCCCTCCCACCCGGGGGGGCTGGGCCATGCCGCTCAGCACAGGGGGACAGGGACAGGGACGGCGGGGGAGGGTGGAGTTCCGGAAAGTCCCGGAAGGGGGACAGTGGTCAGGCAAGGCGGGGAGCTGCGTGAGTCTTCTGGGGCCGTGTGGACAGAGCTCACCGCGGGGCCTCCCTGTGGTTCAGTTCTGTGAAAGACGAGGCCTGCCCGGCTCTGGGGGAGAAAGGAGGTCACTCCGCGGTTGGGTGTGAAGGCTGCGGTCTCGGGTCTGCCACGTCCTCTCCGGAACACAGCCTGTCGTGGGGGCCCAGGGCTGGAGGCAGCTCAGAGTCCGGGAACTCCCGAAGTGACCCCCAAGCTTCCCCCCAGGCCAGGGGGGCCAGCAGAGCCCCCCACCCGAGTCGCAAGCAGAAATTCATTTCTCCGAATGGTCAAAGGAACACATCGGGGGGAGTGAGCCAGGGACGCTGGCGTTTGTCCACCACTCGGACCTGGTGGCCTGCCCTGTGGGTGTGCCCTCCCCAGGTAAGTTTATGCAGAGCTTTCCAGAAAGATTCTCACATTGGGACACTTGTCCCAGCTCACATACAGACACAGCCTTTCAGACAAAGAACACTTTCAGGGGGGCCGGCAGGTGGCATGGTGGTTAGGGTGCTGGACTCCCACATGGCTGACCGCTGTTCGAGTCCCAGACCTGGTGGCTTTCTTTCTCACTTTCTCTGTCTCTCTCACACTCTATCCCTCTCTGGTCAAATTAAAATAAATAAAGTTAAATAAAACCATCCCTTTTTTTTTTTTGAATAATGCTTTGGGGAAACTGAGGCGCAGGCCGCAGGAAGTGGAGCCTCAAGCAGCCTCCAACGCTGGCTGCCTGCCAAGGCCCAGGTGTCAGGCTGCTCTGCGGTGGGGGGGCGGAGACTGGGGCAGGAAGTGTGTGACATGGGACCGGGAGAGGGTGGCCAGGCTCCCGCGGGGCCTGGGCACTCCATGGTCTGGGCATGGGGCCCCTGGGCACGGCCCTGGTGCTCCTGGCACAGTGCTGGGGTGAGTACTCGGGCTCCCTCCCTTCAGCCCCAGTCGCCCCTGCGCTTCACTGTGGGTGCCCGCTTGTCTCTGAGACCAGGGCCTCGGGGCTGGGAGGGTCAGGAAGGGTCTTCAGACAGGCTGGGATGGGACTCACACCACGACCTACAGGCAGGGGACCTGGGGACCTGGGCACAGCAGTGGCTCCCGTCTCGCCCCTCCACTGGCCTTCCCTCTCCTCCCTCCATTCCACCTTCTCTTCCTTCTCTCGGTCTCCACTGTGCTTCTCCCACCCCAGGCCTTTGCACCTGCTGTTCCCACACCTGGGACACTCGTCATCCCCCTGTCCGGCCGGCCACAGCTGCAGCTCCCTCCCGGGGCCCCTCTCCTGAGCCCACCGCACCTCTGGGGTGGTCCCCTCACAGTCAGAAGTGGCCTCGTTCTTTCTCCTCCAGTCGGCTTCTCGGTGTCCTCCATGTCAACCAGAGGCCACCCTGGGGTAAAACCTGGGCACACCCCTGCCCCGTGCCCTCCAGGACGCCTTTCAGAACCCCGGAGACAGCCTGCTCTTCCCGGGCTGGTGCAGCAGCCGGCTCCCCGGCCTCCCCTCTCCTGTCTCTGGGCCCCCGCCCTTCACCAGGGCTGCAAGGGGAGTTTTTTTCATTTTTCATTTCTTTTATGTTTAAGATGTTTGCTGGAGGGCATGTGCTCGAGACAGGGAGAGAGAAAGGGAAAGTGAGAAATCCCCCCGGGGGGTGACCGTGCCGTAGTCCCCTCTCCTCCGTCCTCCTCTGTCCTCTCCGGTCTCAGGCACCCACGCACATGACCCCGCCTGTTCTTCAAGTCGCTGGGTTCAAGACTCAAACTGTGTAGAGGGCCACGGGAGATCCAGCCACCGCCACCTTAACCTCCATGCCACGCCGGCTCTAATTATTTTGGGTTTTTCTTTATACTTTTCAAGAGAGTGCATGCATACAGAGACAGAGACAGAGACAGAGAGAGGAAACGGCCCCATGGAGCAGTCACAGTCACGCTGCAATCCCTTCTCCTCCATTCTCCTTTCGGGATCTTGGCACGCACGCACACGTGCTTGGTGTGTTTGCAAAGCCCCCAGGTCCGGGACTCGAACCTCCAGCTGGCCATGTGGGAGCCAGCGGCCCTAACCTCCATGCCACCGGCTGGCCCAGAGGGCAGGGCCTCTGCCTTAGACGTGACGGTGTCTGTCTCCAGCACGCCCAGTGCAGGGTCTGGCGCAGGCTGGGTGATATTGGGGTGGCCGAGAGCTGGACTCCCCGAGTTGCACGGGCGACGCCCATGGAGAAGGGGCCTTCTCACGGCCACACGGCTGCCCAGGAGGGACGTGGCAGGCACACAGATAGCAAGCTTTCACCGCCTCCTCTGTCCCCAGCCCTGCCGGGAGCCAGCGGAGAGTGAGTGGGCGGCAGTGGCCCGAGTCGCTGCGGGCCCGGGAGGGCAGCCAGGTGACCCTCGTCTGCCAGGTGGCCCAGACACAGGCCTGGGAGCGCCTCCGCCTCCAGTGGACCAAGGACGGGGCGGTCCTGTGTGAGCCGGCCGTCGCCAACGGCAGCCTGAGCGGGCCGGCCTGTGGGCCGCAGGGACGGCTCTCCTGGAGGCCGCCGGGGGCCCTGGCCCTGCAGCTGGACCGCGTAAGCGCCAACGACAGCGGGCACTACTTGTGCCAGGCCGCCGTGGAGATCCCGGAGCTGGAGGAGGCCGAGGGCAACGCGACACGGCTGCTGGTGGACGCAGGTACGGCGCAGAGGGGCGGCGGGAGGGCGGGGGCGTCGGCCTTTCTGTTGGTGTTTGTTTCTGAACTTGCTAGGGGCATGAGGCAATGCGAGAAAGAGAGAGAGACAGAGAGAGGGAGAGAGAGGGAGGGGGGGAGGGAGGGAGGGAGGAGAGAAGAGAGAGACCTCCAGGTCCCGGACTTGAACTATGGTCAGCCATGTGGGAGTCCAGAGGGAGGGGGGGAGGGAGAGGGAGAGGGATGGAGAGAGGGAGAAGAAGAGGGAGAGGGAGAAAGAGAGGGGGAGAGAGGGAGAGGGAGAGAGAGAGGGAGAGAGAGAGGAGGAGAGAGAGAGGGAGAGGGGGAGAGGGAGAGAGGGAGAGAAGGGGGAGAGGGGGAGAGAGGGAGAGGGAGAGAAGGGAGAGAGAGGGAGAGAGAAAGAGGGAGAGAGACAGAGGTAGAGAGAGGGAGAGAGAGAGGTGGACGGAGAAGGCAATCCTCCCCAGGGGGTGGCCACGCCGCAGTCCCTTCTCCAATCTCCTCCTGGATTTGGGGCTCACGCACACACACCCCTACTATGATTTCTACGTGCCGGGGGTGCAGGACGTGAGCTGCGGACCCAGGCGCCCTCACCCCATGCCAGCAGCTGGCTGGATTCTAGAATCTCTCCTGAAGCTCAGACTCCTAGACGCATCAAGGTCTTCAGTCGGGTGCTCAGGGAGAGCTCTCCTGAGCCCTCAAGGACACAGAGCCTAGAATCTGGGGCCTTCTTCCAGCCCGGGTGGGGTGCCTGCGGTGCCTGTGACACCCCTGCGGTGGGCGGGGGTCCCTGCCGCTGCGCTCCTGCTCCGCCGCTGTGGCAGGAAGCGGCCACGGAGACACCTGGGAGGCACGCTGGTCCAGGCTCCGTCTTCTCTCTTTTTTTTTATTTTTGGCGTAGAGGGGTGGATGTGGCGTGTCAGTCACACAGTGGCTTGGGAGGCTGGCCCACAGGGAAGGCCTCAGGTTGGCCCTGCAGACCTCCCAGGGGATGCACATGCGTGCGGTGACCCAGGGCTGGCTGGAACGAAGGAGGGGTGTGCCCCGAATCCCGGAAGGGCGGGAGGCAGAGAACAGACTGCAGTGAGATCGGACCCCGTGGGGTGCTCTCTCTCCCCCTGGCTCTCCCTGTCTCTCTAGGGAGAGTGCACACATCCTCAGGGTATGAGAGCTAGCAGGTGGTATGGTGGTTGGGGCACTGGGCCCCACACGATGGACTGCAGTTCAAATCCCGGACCTGGAGGCTCACTTTTTCACTTTCCCTCTCTCTCTCTCTCTCTCTCTCTCTCTCTGACTATAGTTTGTTAAAATATTATAATAATAAAATAATTCGTTTAAAATATTTTTATTAATAAAAGAGAGAGATAGAAAGCAAGAAATCACCCCCCAGGGGGGATGGCCACACCGCAATCCCTTCTCCTCCATTCTCCTCTCGGGATCTTGGGCACGCATGCACACGCGCCCGGCGTGAGTTGAAGCCGCCGGTCTGGGATGCGAACTGCGGTCGACTACGTGGGAGTCCAATGACATAGCCAATATGCCAAGTGCTGGTCCCCCAAAATAAATCATTCTTTTGGCAAAGTCTCCTTAGACGTGGATTAGGAAGGCAAGGTGGGGAGACAGCACTAGAGAGCGACCGGTTCTGAGTCCTGGGTAGGCTCGGGCTCGTCGTCTCGGAGCAGAGAACTCGGGCCTGCAGAAATGGAAAGCCCTGGACTGGCAGGCGGAAGGCGCTTTGCAGGGGCCGGAGCCCTCACTGTGAGGGGAAAGGCCGAGGCCCAAGGCCGAGGCCCAGCGGGCCCAGGAGTGTCCAGGCCCGGCCAGCACGAGGCAGGAAGG